CTACCTCAGTGCTAGAGTTAGCTGTAGTAGATAAAGGGATAAGGTAGCATCATCAGTAGATGTAGCTTCTAGACGTGATACTGCATATACCCATACAGGAGGTGGTGGTGGCCTCAGAATAGCCACAGCCCCAGGAGTCTCCACTGGAGAGGGAGTGGGGTTTAGCAAACATAGTGCATCATCGAATCCCAATGGTGCCCAAGCATCTAGGAGTGCTTGAGCCTCTTCTAGTTCCTCGACATCATTCCAATCAACCGCCTGCATTACTCGTTGTAATGCTTCTGGTTGCTTACTCAAACCCCAACAGTACCTATTCACAGACAGACAGTACTATGATCATCCGAGCTCCCTGCTAAGCGCCGCACCTCAGGAGAATATGTTTCTGGCCAAGAGTGAGAGGCTGAGAGATAACAGGGAGACGGACAAGACGAGTTAGGGCCCTATTTTCCTCAGCTGATGGCCTGGGCGCGGCTGCTATAGCTGCGGCTACATTACTCTGTCCCTTTGGTAGATGTGGTAGTTTACTTGTGTACTTCCTAGATAGTTTATCAGCTTTAATAGCACTAGGATGGATACGATGGGCCTCATAATCAACAACAGGTATGAAGTGTACAAAAGGCGCGGCAGCTCCGTTATCCAGACCGCTGGATTCAATAGCCAGCATCTGAGCAGTCTTAGCCTCTACCCCCTCGACAATGCCATCAATAGCAGTAGACCGAGGGACAGCTCTGATCCCATCAGTAGGGGCTAGCATCCAAGGTATACTGGTCGGATATGGAATAGTGTTAGAAGGCACCAACCGAGTAGATGGTGGCACTGCTGCTAGCAACGTTGTCCGAACAGGCTCCTTCGGCCTAACAGAACAGTACAGCACTGGAGCCTCGGTCTTCGGGTTTAGTTCTATAATGATGTATCTCCTCTCACTGTTCAGCAGTGTATGTATAACATCGCTACTGGGTGGTGGTGGTGGTGATGATGGAGCAGGTGTAATACTGCCGGTAGCTCTGGATGTACACTCAGCCTCATAGTCGACTATCAATGCCTCCTTCACACTATCATTTCCCTCCTCTGTGAATATCCTATTATTAGAGTTCTCACCGACATCGAGACCATCACCAATAACAACATCACGAGCAGGAGCATGAGAATAATGATAGCGATGATGGGTATCCCATGGACAAGATACCAACGCTCCGTCCTGGTCTAGTGGCGGCCGATCCCTTCCCTGATAAAGCTCCATGATCCTACGCCCCTGTCTAAGTACACCACGTTCTGTGAACACTGGCAATACACACTGACCAACACATTCAAAGTGATGGCTAACGCGATTGACCGTAATGACAAGGGTAGCAGTGGAAGGCAGCTCACGTATCTTATGGAGGGATATTGATTTGTAGGAGTCCCAAGCACTTACAGGATATGTCGTCCCAAGTGTTAATTCATCACGTCGAGGTTGGGTATGTGCAGCTACCCAAGACTCTTCTACTCCTGTTGGTGTAGATACTGTCTGGAGTGGTGCACCATATGTACTCCTATTGCATACTACCTTACCATCTACCATAAGATCCATCACCACACTACACCTGATATCAACCACCACTATACTATCAGCAACCTCGGCTATCCTACCACATAGTAGACTCCGATACACGATTCATCACTCCACATACACTGAGAGATAGATACAGAGGGACATCACAGGAGTACCTAGGATGCTCCAGCATGATAATACATGGGACAGTAGTAGGGCATTACATAAACTTGCATACTTGACCCCCACCACTGCTAGAAGAAGGCACTGTTGACGTGGCATCACCAATGACTGCAGTAGCTCTACCCCCGACCGAGGATGAGGGAGATGCTACAATACTACTCTCAGAGGCCGCATAACGACCTCCTAATTGTTCGGTCATCATTACAGGTGTGGTTTAAGGGATACAAACATCCTACTACTGTGAGTATATGTCCAGACTAGTACAGCATTGCCGAAGATGAGCACTTTCAAACTCAATACAATGGTGATTAAGAGAAATCCGAATAAAGATTTGAAGTGATGGCATATGGATGTAAGCCAACCCAACTTCCAACCCCAATGACGCTAGCTACCGTCATCATGTAGAAACTACTATGGCAAGTCGAGGAAACAGATGATCCCAGCAACTGTAACCCCAATGGCCTGATTATCATCAACTAGGGTCACCGTGAGTAATGGACTGAGGCGTTGTCTACTGGGTTTTGGCAGCCTCGGCCTCCTCACGGGCCTTCTTCCTCATCGCTGCCTTGTTGATCTTAACATGAATCTTCTGTATTTGCTGTAATCTGAGATAGAGCAATACTACACATGACTTTTGTATGGGAGTAAGCAGAGCTACCTGAGGCGCTCGGGCACTAGACGAGTTGCAGCCCAATACTGTAGATGATGGGCCCAATGAGTGGCAGTCCAAGTGTAGCCAGCCTGGTCGGGGAAGGACAGTTGTCGGAGTACAGTGTCGGCACATCTAAATAGGGAAACATAGTAGTAATAAGGAGAGTAGAGGAGGAATTGACGTACGTCATGGGGGAGGTAATTAGCCAAGTCTCCTTCTTAAGCTTGCTCATGTTGCTCATAACATAACCAGGATTAACCGCGAGGAAATCAATGCCCTTAGCCCTGTACTCTTCATATAAGGATAAACTGAAGGAGTAAGCATAGGCCTTACTAGCACTATAAGGTGCCAACATAGGGGCTCCAAGAGGGCCAAACATAGATCCAAAAGATAGCACTGCCCCACCATTATTCCTCTCGACCATTTGAGGGAGCAAGGCCTTGGTGATGAATGTATTAGCACGGATATTCACGTTGATGATATCCTCGACAACCTCATCAGTGTGATCAGTAAAAAACTGTGGGAAGGGATTGTTCACACCAACGTTGTTGACAAGTAAGCATAGGTCAACACCCTCGCAGGCCTTAACCAGAGCAGGTAGCCACTTCTCGGTAGGTGTAGCAAAATCACAAACAACAGTAATGATCTGACAACAATGAGCACAACAATCCTAACTCCATATACACCAGTGCGAATACCTCAGCTGGGCCCTTCCCCTTAGCCTTAACATCATCTTGGATCTTCTTCGCACACTCCTCCAATTTGGACTCGCTACGACTGGCGAGGAC